GACCAAGAAATTCGTGTCAGATGGAACAAAATAACGAAACAAGTGAGTAATGCATGCATCGTTATCTCTCACCTCATTTGGGGTCAAATCTCCAGTGCAGAAATCGCCTAAAGGGTATTTGCCGATGCCAATAAAACGGCCATGTTAACCTGCGCCTTTCTACAATGCGAGTTAACAAGTGAGGCACGTCAATGATTAGCGAAAAACAAGGTCAACGCTATAAAACGCTATGGCTAAGCAAACCAATCCGCGTCTCGAACTGGAAGCCATCACCGACCTCGATCGCTGCAACATGGCGACGCTGTTTCACAACATCCTGTCACGACTCCAGACAATCGATGCAGCACTCTCCAGACTAGGAGCCATAGAAACTGTATGTCAGACGCGATCTTGAAGCGAACCACACCAAAGTCGACATGCAGTTTCTGCACACTGGATGGAAATCGTGACTCTCACTACACCGGTAGGTGTAGCAGGTACCCCAATGCCTTCTCAAGAACTGCCTAGGCTGCAAAACTGCAGCTCGGTCTGAAGTGCCTGAAACCATGGCATGAGGATGACTATAAGATGAAGTGCAGCAGTTGTGGTCTCGATCACAACTTGTTGCTCTGTCACCAATGCAGGCAAACACAACNGCCTCATAAGCGATACCACTTCTGAGGATGCATCGTCACCAACTAGTCTCCACAATTTGCAAACACGTTTCAGCCACCCCGCCGCATTATCATCCTCATCATCCTCTCAAATCCAGATGTGGGATGTGGCGGGTGGGACCACCCTGGAGAAAACGGCGATCCACTACAATTCCACTGAACCACCTCGCGGTGTTCATAAAAAGACTCGAAAAACCCTTAATCTCAGCGCCCGCAACACTGAAAATATTATTGGCCAGTTGTTAGCCTCAGTGTTGTCCTTGGTACTATGAAACGCAGATGATGGGTAATGAACAGAAGCTATTGTCAAGGTTCCATCCGAATTCACTCATTGATTTGATGATTTCTCTGACTTGATTTCTCATCGGAGAGGTCAGTTCCATCTTTGTTATATATCTTCAGTTCCTGTCGAAAAGTTGGATCCAGGCCAGTCAACTGCATCACACCCCATCGATGCACATGTTTTCGCAACAATAATCGCAACAATTTTGCCCTTGTAATGCAAAAATACCATTTCCAGATCTGGTAACTGCTTTGCTGAAAGTCTTCCCCAAAGGAACTGTAGTACCTCAAGAAGTGTTACGACTAACGATTGACGCCATGCAAGCTAGTTACGCCGTGTCCTCTACACGGATGAGCCATTTTACCTGTTAGTTGTGCAATTCCCCAAGAACTGCTGGTCACTCAGTAGAGTGGTCCACTTCTTTTTCTGAATCATCTCTCCAAAAAACCGGACAAAGACAGAAGTTCACGAGGACTTCTGCGAAAGCGAGTCCTCTATCATAGTGTCGTAGCATCGAATTTAAAAAAGTCGATGAGGGCGCTTAGCTGGTCGTCTGCTGACCCTCCCTGCTTCGGCCCAACTGAATCCATGTTCCAGCACTTCCGTGAATTCAAAAACTCAGTTGTATTTTTAACGTTAGGAAAAAATTGAAGTTTTCTTTATGTTCTCAAGGAGTGCGGAACACCTACAAAAACATAGCAATATATATTGGCACGATTGGACACATCATTTACTCATCATTCGCGGTCATTTAAAATGTGCAGTTGTAAGAAAAATTATAAACCTGATGTTAAAGCCTTTCATGGTCGGATGCACCTTTCATTTTTTCACAGACCTGTTCTAACTTTCACACATCAAACTGTATCACCACGATCACCTATGACATTTATTCGACCAACGGGCAAGTCTGCTATTTTTTCTCACACAAAGATGTGGGCCATGAATCGAAAAAGGAGACACTGCTCCTCTGAGATCATCAAATGTGATGAGTTTTGTCCTGGCCAGGAAGTGTTTGAAGTATATAGAAAGATGGTAGTCACTTAGTGCGTGTTGAGAAGAATAGGGAAGGTGAGAAACGGTATTCCAGCCAAATCCTGAAGCCGGACTGACTACGTCTGGAATGCGTGGCCTTTGCTACTCGAGCCTAAGCGTTATCGTGAAGAGGGTGGACAGAAACTTTTCGCAGTCTCTTTTCTTCAATTGCATGTGCGAGCCTGGGGCTTTGCTGTAGATGGTAGCCGTGATCTCCTGCCTTGAAAGAACAACTCGTGGTGTAGTTTCCCTTTCGGGTTTTACGGGTTTTAGGTAGAGCAGAGAAAAACCTTCCTCGGGTGCTTTTCTGGCCTAGGCTGCACGAACGGATCTTCTCCTTGTTTGAGCTAGAGGGCCTCCCTCTTGTTGTTGTGATAAGGGACCAGCACNTTCGTACGAGCCCGCTCAGAATAATTTTCCTGTAATCGTGATCTTGAAAGCGTCGAACGACGTTGCTCTGCGTGTCGTTGCTCAAGCCCGAGAACCTCTGCCAACTCCTGTTCGTAGGCTCCGGCAGTTTCTTCATTTAGTTGACAAGTCGGTTATCTTTATTAACATTTGATCGACCAGAGAAACAAGCCTCAGATCTCCAGATCGAAAGCGAGAGGATAAACGACCAACGGCCGTATGACTGACGAGTTCTTCTCTGAATGCAGAGTTGATGATGGCGGCACGGAATGAGGACTGAAGTCGCGGCGTCATGCGTAGAAGAAGACCGCTCAATGCTGATTTCTCGACTATTGCGGCATGGTTTACAACAGCAGTCCTCGGAGACTCTTTTTGAATATCGATGGCGATAACTCTGAGATTGTCTAGGAATGTGGTGACAGTAAGAAGGTTGCAGAAGTTCTTGTAAAGAGGTATCACGTTAGTAGTAATAAGATTACTAGATTATGGAATCGAGAGTAGCTCAGCTGTCATGGCAGAGAGGTCAGCAGTCAGTGGATTAGGTCGTCCTTCAAGTGAGTGAGTGGAAGTGTAAGAAGACCCTACCTAGCTAGAACTGGAGTCTCTTTCTTACCACATGAAGCTACTTGACAGTAAGCGCATTGGCCAAGCGCGGCAGGCCTGTTGGGTTGGAGTTCAGGCCATGCTAGTGGATCGAGTTACGGTATATTTTCTGAATTCCATGCTCCTTGAACTCCTCGTTTGACACTAAAATGAAAGTTCAATATCTATTATTGAATTGAATTCCATATAGTGGGCGGTCTGAATTTGGTGGAGGCGAAGGCGGGCGCTATTTACGTGAGCGCCCCTAAAAACGTGTACAACTGACCACAGGCGCCTAATGACATCGTCGTACCACATCATTCACTGAGGACTTGATTGACCTCATGATATCGCATCGCTCCTCAGACCTGATACCTACCGTACTAGACTGCATGGGCCTATCATATGGTAACTATTTACGTACATTTTTTTTGCCCGCAATCCAAAGATTATCATTATTAGATCAACAACGTTACCTAGCCATCTTCACTGCTTTCAGTTTTTCAATAAATTGCCAATCCATTGAAGAGATACTCGTAATAGAAGGTTACAAGCCAAAAATTGTACAATGCGCAACATTTTCGCTGCTGTAGAAGCGTTCTAGAGAAGGGTTTTACAATTAATCGCCGGACGTTAGCTGGCGACATCTCCACGTTTCCGACCGTCTTGAAATGGATTGTAGAGGGGAGCTCAAAAACTAGAATTTAATTAAAGGAGCCTGGCCCCATCGCACGCAACTGATGCGTTATTGCTACAAATGTATTTCTGTAAATTCGATAGCCCTGTTCAACATTGTACAGGTCATTGGGTCAGTTAGAGATAATGGAACGTTGCTGCTAAGAAGTTAACGAACTCATTTCTTCTGTCTATGTACACCTATGTTATCGAACCCGTTGCCTTTAAGCTATGAAGAAGGTGTTCGCATCGACAGCTAACAGATCAGTGGTATTCCTAGACCACGGAAATGCTATTCAATTTTGATATCGGATGGAACTGAGAACTGACCTCGTCATTCGGGTGGTTTTATGTAAAATAACAGCCATTTTCTAAATTTATTTCAGACCACCCTCAACCACGTAAGATGTTCCCCAATGTTTTTTCCACGATCGGAGGAACACCCGAAGCGGTTTTTACCATCGCTGTTGTTGTCACATGGAACCATCTTCTGACTCTAATTGGATTGCCCTCAATCAACTGTGGCCCTTCCTGCTTGCTTCTCAGATTTATCACTCCTCATGTCACCTCAGAGAGCTGGGTTTGTTTTCCTCACAGAAGCTACCCTGACGTGCTGCCGTCAGTGCTTGGTGGTAAAACCGCTCCGTACATTGCGCTGTTCTGTCAGTCGTCTTCAGCACACCACAAATCATCTCACAAATTTGAACCTCATGCCATAGTTTTTACAAGAGTTGTGCTTACAACTCAACTACAACTCCTATTTTGCCGGAAGTTCTACCTGCTGAATACAGCCCAGCTAGAATGATGAGATTTGAAGCTCTTCCGAGGTGAGAAAGTAGGTTCAAGTATGATCGTGAGCACCTCTGTGGGAGAGCTTAGGGTCTTGAGCGTTTTCCTCATCCCTTTATGCGTTTTTTGGTATGTTAACAACGAGTAAATCCTCAGTTCCTCATCTTACCCAACGCAGTATTACTCGAATTAGCTCTACTAGTATTTGGGAGTAACGGATGTAAAAATGGCACGCAAATCAGGCGTAGTCTTGAACACCTTTATTATTTTTTCGGTCATTTATGGATCAGACAATAAAATAAATCAGGTATGATCTAGCAGTCACTGAGTTGAAGGCAAAAGCAGCAAGGCAGGAATACAGTGTAGTATTGAACCATCATGAGAATCGAGAACCCACAGTAAACAGGACGGTAGCAAATTCAATGTTGTACTGGTTTTGTACTGATCATTTGGTTTGGAACAATACTGTGAATATGAAGTCCTAAAATCTGTACAGATTGAGAATTTCGCAGACAGGTATCTATACCTACAGATCTAGGCAATAAAATAACATGAAATAGTAAGTAAGCAACAGAAAACTAAAGTTCTATCCGTCGATTGTGACCTATGATGCCAAAGTAGGATGTTGGTTTCAGCGGTTTACTGAAAGTCCTTTCACGCCGAACAAAATGGGAGAATGTTGACACACAGTTGCCGATAAAATGATCTGCCTGACCGAGGACTGCCAGCGACACAAGGGCGTCATCGGGATTGAGTCGATAGGCTTTTATCTAAAGTATCATTCGTCAGATAAGCATATAGAAAAGTCCCGCCGTTTATAAATACGTGAAGACGCATCTCACAATCAGACATCTTTCACTGAACACAAATGCCCACTGAAGCGCTTCCAGATGCCAGATACATATCTACTCTTACGCGAGCCAAAACAGTCAACACTCCACTCTGAATGGAAGTCGACTGCAGAGGCGCATCCAAAACGGAACTGATTCAAACGAAGACTATTTTATTATGTGCGAAACAATTCGATTCCGTTTTCTCTTCGCATTGATCTTCGAATCAATTATTCAACCAACTTAACTATGCTTGCCTCTTCGCAAATATTTATAAGACCATTATGATGACATTGTTCATATACATTAGGTTCGAAAATTTCATTGATCACGCTAATTTCTCTTTTACGAAGAAACGAAAACACACGTCTACAGCTGAGCTACTATGGATCGCCTCACTGAACTCTCTCACTGAAGGATCCCAGCCGGTTGGCGAAGAGGCTATGTAGACCATCTTCAGGTAACGGAAAGGGAAGTAAACCGCCGACCAAAAGTCGCCGGTACTTGCCCAGAGACGCAGGTAGACCCAGGAGATGGACTCCTTGTTTCTGCTGTGCTGGTCGATATAATACTGTTTCTCGCAGGTGTATCCACGCATACGTGTGTGAAGAGTCTGCGGGTTTGCTTGGTATCCTGTCCTTCGACTCAGCGAAAAGCTTAAATTCGAGGGTCTGGGCTGTATCTGGAAGACATTTCTTGGCCGCTTTCCTGGGATTAATTCTGCCCTTGCGTTAAGGCTTGGCAAGCTACTCGCTGGACTGGATAACCATTTGCCAGAAACAGTTATATAAATGAGCCTTTTCCCCTGAACCTGAGAGAGCGTGAATGGCATAGCTGTTACTATAGAACTCAAAATAATTGGGAGTATGATACAAATTTTCTAAAATGTAACCTACTTCGTAAGCTTGAAGAGCATCGTTGAAAGTCTCAATCATGTGGTCCCTATCACTTGATACGAACACCGACCGTGCACCGATTTTCCCGACCATATCGATCACCTGCCAGTTGAGACTTACTCTCAAGTATCAAATACTAGCATTTCAAAATAAGTAATCGTTAATGTTACAAGGAAAGCCAAATTAACCACCTGGTCAATAATAGTGGTCGGAGAAGGAGAACAGATCTCTTTCGTCAGCTTGCCATCGTAAAATTCTTCTCCGTCACATTGCATGGAAGCGAACAAGGGTTGATTCGAAGACGTAGACGGTATGTGTTCGCATACACGATTCTTCAAAGAAAGAATTCATAAATAGCTGTATTATGGGGTAAAACAATCAAATTGTGAACATAGTTCTTTTTCCGTGGTCAGGGTGTACATCTTAAATAATAGTTCTTCGCCTCCCATCAGCCCAACAAAACCATTGTCTCCTTCAAAGGCTTAGTTCACGAGAAAATAGTTTTTAAGATTCTCACCTAGGATTAACCTGTGGCCCCAAGGGTAGCGCAAAGAGCGCTGTCGGGTCGGAAATTGGACTGCATAGGGTTCAATAGGGACCCCAAAACCGGTTTCGCCAACGTCTGCAGCAGAAGGCGGACGAGATCTCGGACGAGTTGGCGTCCTATAGAGGTTGCGCTTGGCGTCCTATAGAGGTTGCGCTGTTCGCATCAGGATCCGCACGTCAAATATGCAGCGAGGTGATCAGACAGGCAGTCCTGTTGTATGACGACAGTAGAAGACATTTTTGGTTACTGCAGCCAGATGTACACAATGGCACACATTGAAGAGCTCGTCCAAACACCCCTTCCACGCTCTTTTCGTCTTATTCTCGTCCAACCCCGATTTTTTCCACTTTTCGAAGCTTTTCATTTCTCTCAAAACGCCGGTTTCGTCTTTTCTTCGCCACCATCGCTCTACTTTTCTAAAAACTTCGCTTCTACCATTGGTCCGAGACTGGATACCCCAAAACTATCGTAAACTGTGCTTTTGTCTCGATTGAAGAAATAACCAGTCACGACTACAATAAAATTACCCAGTCGTTGTCATTACGCAGATGAATACCAACAAAAGGGCGAGTAAGCTTTTCCTTGATGAACTGAGAAGCTTTACCCGAGATACGTGAAGACCACTTGAGATATCTGAATATGAATGAATGAATATTAGTGGCTGAGAAACTGGAAATTTCCTTTGTGGCAATATTTATGCAAAAAAGATTAGCTGCAATTTTACCTTTGCAATTCCCAAGTACTTGGACGTGAGGGAAACGGAGCTGGAGGAGACGGAAATGCCAACACGGGATATTCGGAGGCCGGAAATCTGTAAGAATTTTCAAAACAAATTTGCAAATCACATACATCTTATAGAAGTCTTCTCTACAGCTGTAGTCCTAAATAGATCTATTCGACTTGCTTTTACCGGTCCTCCACCTTACTTCCTCCCACCCTATCCAGGCTGAGAGTTTCCATTCATCTACGAAGATTTTCTTTTGGAGTATCATTGTTCAAGAGATTGAGACTATTCACTCATTCAACTCCCATTCAACAAAGCTGGCTTCTACTCGAGGTGGGATGTTATCCTCAGTAGCTCACAATATCTCGGAATCATGCCATCACTCCAAAGTTTTCAACGACAAATTCCAGAAGCAAGTTTTACTCATTAACTGTCAAATCTTTGGAATGCTGGGATACTTTGCGCCTGTTCTCCCACAGTCGAAAAACGTTTTTGTCGTACTGACGAAAGAATGGATTCATAAGTGGTAGTTGATATTCCGTAGGGATAGCTAAGTCTCGTAAGCACCTCTTTGTATGGGAGGAATTCACAAATCTGCTAAGGATGGAGGATAAAATTTTTCGACTTTGATCCATTCCCTTCTATAGGATGCACTGCGGATTCCGCTTCTAATCACAAACGTAGTGGCAATAGGAATGCATATGTGGCCCGGGATAGCCCATGTACAAACCACTGGTTTTATCGCCCTGTGCAAGAATGGGCCAACTTGGTAAGAACAAACCGATCCTGAAAGGATGGGAGGCTCGGTTAGCATGGGCAAGTATCAATCCAGAATTCGATTCTAATAGGGCGCCACTTGCCGTGAGGCCAACCTCCGCCTAGACTCTGTTATTTAGCTAGGTTATGTTTTCATATCCATGAGGCCGAAAACACTAGAGCTTACTTTTCCAGCCAGGCTGTCTTCGATCCGCGAACTGTTAGATCGTACCCTCCGGGAATGTCTCCGTAATATTCATCACGTTCGAAAGACACGCCGATTTTGTCCCAATATGGACCGAAGGGATTTCCTTCTTTGGCATGGCAACCAACTGGAGCACCCTCGTCATAAATCGACTTCCGCGGACTCCAGCATAGTGCTGAAAATACACTTTTACGGACAAGTTCAAAAAGTAGTTTATTCTAGAAAAGTAAGAAGGCATCAAGGCCAGTGTAGAAAAACTCAATGAGTTGCCTTCGTATCTAAACTTATTGTTTGTATAAATTTCTTTGAAAAGACACTTTGAACACGTTTTGATCACTATACCTCTACCAACCAGTTCTGTTGCCCTTTGGCCACAACGTAGGCATGACTTCACGTTGGAACACAACCATCCTTATTGCTTTCAAGTATTTTCTAATCTCAGCTACTTGAAAAATGCTTTCAAATGGAACCATCACCTGAAATATATCCATTACAGTTGACCGGTGTCGCACAAAACCAAACGAAACATAACGCGAACTGTATCTGGATAGGGGTATTCGATGAAGTTTGGTAGCACTAATGTCCTTTCCAGATATTTGGTAAATTGCATAACACCGAGAAGCTGATCGACTTGATTACCAAATCGTCCTAAAAAGTATTAGGACAACCAGCTGGAATAGACGGATATCTGCTTCTTGCAAAACTTGTAGATGTGAACATCACTCACCCATGCAAGGGCAAAAGACGACATATCCATTGGGATCAGGTTCAAAGCGGGTCCCAGAAGCTGAGACAACTAGCAACAAGATCAGCAGAACGATAAACCTCATCACTGCCCCAAAAAGCTGTATGCAGTGTCCGAGGCCATAAATGATGGCCAACTGATAAGGTTGCGGTCAATAAGGGGACTGCACCTTCTTCACCTTCTTCACTATAGATCACTGTCTAGTAATTACAGTGAAAATACTTTCTGCAGAGGTAGTATCCCTGAAAAAATGAAGGTTCTTTGTGTCTTTCGGCCCTGATCAACCACATTTTTGGAATGCGCCCCGCATTCGATTTTCATGGAAAATTTTCGAATGTATAAATAAAGGGTAGAGACCGACCTTAAGAGAGGTAGACCATCAGCGGCTAGCAACGAAAATGTTAGAGTTTCTATCCTCCCAAACAGTTCTGGTACCAATTAACCAACCTCCGTCGAATGTAAGGCTTGGTTGCTACCGGTGGATATGGGTTCGGGACTCGATCTCCCCACTAGGTCATGATAGTGCGCCACCTGCCATTACACTATCTGCACCGCCGTTTCCTCAGAGAGGGGACCAACGGGAAGGTTTTTTCAAATCGTATGGAATTAGAAAGTAGAAATTAGGCCAACCAAGCCTCCCTTTCACCAGACTATCCCTATCCCAATTCCGACCGGGACGATGGAAATACTGACAGCTACGTGAGCTGGCCATCGCAAGGTATTCTTTGGCGCAAACACGCATTCAATACGCTGCTACGATTCTGAATCGAATGCTGGCACGCCCAAAACGGAAATCCTTAACGCGAAAGAGTTTATCGATTAGCCTATACAATGAAGTGCCGTAGCCAGCAGATGTACAGGGGGTGTTCTAGGATCAAAAAATTTGAAGTTATTCTTATATTGAACGTTTGACAAGTAAATTGTTGACCTATGAGGTGGATTTTCAATCTCGAAGGGGCTTTTTTGCCATAGTAAAGAGATTTGCTCTATTCACGGTGGAGCCGTCGACTACTGCAAATATATTCGGTCCATCTCAACAGAAAGGTACTGAAACGATGCTGTGTGCGCGAAGACCTCTAATGGGGTCACGCGTGAATCGCGCGCCCCCCGATACTGTAAAGGGTAGGGATAGAGGTGTAGTCGCAAGTG